CCCGAGGCTCAACGGCGACTTCGACGAGACGCAGATGGAGTGCTTGATGGTGGTAGGGTTATGGTGTGCTCATCCGGATTACAACGTGCGGCCATCGATCCGACAGGCCATCAACGCGCTAAATCTCGAGACTCCACTGCCGGAGCTTCCCCCCAAGATGCCGGTTCCCATGTACTACACGCCGTGGAGTGATGTGAGCCAGTCTCTGCATGCGTCGTCTCTCGCCACGACAACTTCGATTACTGCGAAGTCGGCACCGACGGGCTCCTCCAGCATGTCTCCGAGTTCGTCTTACTTGCTGAAGTCGCCCAACACTGAGGCCGTGATTTCCACATGACTATGTGGATCGAGCAGTTTCTCTGTTTCGGTAGTGCAGTTTGTCGAGCGTCGTAATAATGAAGATAACAGTGGGAATTGCAGCGTATGCAATACCGTAATGTTGGTGTTTACTTCATTCTTAAGTTCTCATGATTTATGTTGCAATGGACTCTTGATCTGAATGTTCTTACAAGATTAAATGATGTTATAGTAGTGAAACCAATCGTAACATTCTATCATTATCATCATCTTATTAAGTTGGCAAAAATATCAATTCATTATCTTACAAAAATTAACGCCGTTGCCGGGGATCGAACCTGGGTCACCCGCGTGACAGGCGGGAATACTCACCACTATACTACAACGACTTGACGTTTATTGGTGACAACTCTATTTATTTAATGAAGAATCTTCCTTGACTTCTGCAACCAATGCAACAACAAGTCAACAGAGGTGTCTTCTCTGGATTCTCCATCTTTAAGGAAGCTGCTTGTTTAGAAGCGCAGACGTGAGGGGAGTAGAAGAAAGACCATGGGACTGCAGCCCATTATGAATACATGCGTGCATACTTTTTCTATCAAGAGAAAGAAGTTTGCTTGTACCATCTGGTTTGCTGAAAGCCCAACACGTTGGAACCTTCACGTGAATCGATTTCTTGTCCCCTCGTCGAACCGTGGAAGCTGTAGCATGAAGCATAGATCACGAAGAGAGAGGAAATCTGAAGAAGAAAGAGAATGGAAAGAGAAGTAAAGAAAAGATAACACCCGATCATCCACCGGTGACAGAGTTGACACCAAGAAACAAGCAACCTTTGAGTGAAGAAAAGACGCAAGCGCTCAAATGAGATAACAAAATTGTTCTTCCTTCTTCTTCGTTTTATTTTACCGAAACAGCTAGATTGGAAAAAGCCTCTCAGATGAACAACCAATGGATTGTTTGGTGACAAATCCTTTCTTCTTACTTGGCCATCTAATCCTTGGTATTGTCCCGTAAGAAAGCACCAAATCTTTTCTTAATGATGGTTTATTTCTTTATGTCATACTAGCATAAGCAAGCTTGCATGAGTGACAGGGTATATGGCATATTTGCTGCCGTTTTGAGGTGTGAATTCCTACTTGCTGTCGTATTTGGACTTGTATTTGATAAGGTACTATTTGATCGGTCTGTCATCGGTGTGGCTCGTAGGCTCATGAAGAATTGTCCGCTTTGGAAGATTGACATCTGTCATTGGTGTGGCCCGTAGGTGGTCCGGCTTGTGAAAAATTATCCGCTTTAGGTGATTGACATACCCGTACGATTTTGTCATTTCAAAGGATGTGAGCTCAAAAAACACCTCTGAGTGTAAGGGAGACTTAACAGACTTATGAGTCATTGGTTCTCATACTCCTCAACCAATGTGTGACTAAATTGCCTTATCAATGCTCTCTCTCATAGGGAAGCCAATGGCTCATAACCGAGGTGCATGGCTTAGGAGCGAGTTTGCTCGATCGAGGTACAAGTATCGGCTCTCTTTCTAGCGCCAAAAAGTGACCCTTTACACCGTGGCAGAGGGAGTCAACACGGCTTGGTTCGATCCCGGGTGCACAAGATCATCCACATCAATGTTCGGGGTGATGGAGATCGTTGTCTGTGAAGTCAGGCTTGGGCTCTAGCTTCAAAGTCGGGAAACTCCCTTTAGCTGATCGTCTGCCTCTTTGTCACCGGCTCCTACATACAGGTCGAGGTCGGGAGGGGGATTTCCCGACTCGAAAAAAAATGGAAGAAGAAATTAAAAAGATTAGATGAAAAGAAAAATATATTGAGGTGCAGAACTTAGGTACTGTTTGGTCGAGGTGCACAACTCGAGCACTTTAGGGCATCCAAAGTGTCGATGCTACCATCGTAAGGCTCGAGCACAGGGAGGTAGAAGTTTTACGGGGTCGGCTTGTCCTGAATCTCCTACATAAATGGGGATCAGCCTTGCCAAGCTCTTCCTTGGATTTGTGAAACTCCTTATTCGAAGGTTGAGTGCATTGGGAGTGGCTCCTCTCCAAGGCATTCGCCTGGATTACTTGGCTAGGGATAATCTTGCGGCATTGGGGTCCTCCATCTAGCGCCAATTTGATAAAGGACAATTTAATCGATCAGCCATTGGTGCAGCTCATAGGCTCGCGAAGAATTGTATGAGCGTACTCGCATGATTTTGTCCTTTCAGGGTATGTGAGCTCCAAAAGGCGCCTCTAAGAATAAGGGAGACCTTGCAGACTTATGAGCCCTTGATTCTCATACTCCTCAACTAATGTGGGACTAAATAGCCTTATCAGTGCTCCCTCCCGTAGGGGAGCCAAGGGTTAATAACCAAGGTGTATGGCTCGGGAGCGAGTTGGCTAGGCCGATATGCAAGCATCGAGCTCTCCTTCTAGTGCCAATCTGATAAGGGTCCATTTGGTCGGTCGACCATTGGTGCGGCCCATAGGCTTGCAAAGAATTTTCTTTTTTAGGCGATGGGCGTACCTACATAATTTTATCCTTTCAGAGCATGTGAGCTCTAAAAGGTGCCTCTGAAGGTAAGGGAGACCTGGCGGACTTATGAGCCCTTGGTTCCCCTACGGGAGGGAGCATTGATAAGGCCATTTAGTTCCACATTGGTTGAGGAGTATGAGAACTCTCTATTGGGTGGCGGCTAACTTAAGCTTCAGATGGGTCAAGTTGGGAAATCCCCCTCCCAACCTCGACTTGTATGCAGGAGTCGATGACAGAGAGGCATGCGGTCAGCCAAAGGGAGTTTCCCAACTTTAAAGCTAGAGCCCAAGCCCGACCTCACTAGACAACGATCCCCGCCGCCCGAACGCTGACGTGGATGATCTTGCACACCCGGGATCGAACCAAGCCATGCTGACTCCCTCTACCATGGTGTAAAGGATCACTATCAGTATTGTTTAGTGTCATGTATCATGGATGATGACAAAGAACAAGGGAAACCATGGAGCAGTAGTAGAATCGAGCAAGCCAGGAAATGGTCCATGCACCTTGCAGCATCTAGGGACCTTCACATAAACTTATGACCGAGATGTTGCCAAGTTGCTTGTGCTCAAGATGTTGCCAAGCTACCACTTCATCCTGAGCTAACTGAGCAGATAGTGAATGTCCCCTTGACAAAAGTTGATTAGACAAACTCATAAAGATCGTATAAGAGCTCCCAAAAAGGAACAAGTTTTTTGGCAAAAAATATCAACATCTTCACTTGGTCTATAGGAAAATCTACGAGTGACATCACATACATAATGGAAGAACAGAAACAAAAATCTCATATTTCCATGATAAGATTCATCGTCATGCAAAATTTAGTATACAAAAATCCACGTTCATGTGGGATAGTTATGTTACATAAGGAGATCGTATATCCCTAAATTCCTGCAAATCTATGGGAGAGGATAAAGGAAGTCAAGTATTCTCCTTTGTAGCAGTGATCTGCACGATAGGGGCTATGAAGACGCTCCTCGAATCGCTGCCCAAATCTTCACATGCCCCAAATAGGGGCTGCTCACTTAAGAGAAGGGGAGAGAAGAATATGTGTTAGTAGCCAAAAAGACCCGGTCTATGACCCTTTGGTTTCCTCCTATTTATAGAGATTCATTGTCAATTTAACTCTAATGGATCTTACCCTATTGGGCACTAAATCTCTATTCAACTACCAAAGCCTCTTATATTAGTGCATCTCTATCCAATAATCTCTCATTAGCTCTTATTGAATCTTATCTATATGATGATCTAATAATTTATTAGCTTATTGGATATCCAATAAAATAGGGGCTCCAACAGATATCTCATATCCAATAAGATAGGGGCGATGACATGCCCTCGAGCTGTTAGGCGCCGCATAAGTCGGCGCTAAATATTATAGAGTCTTTCTGGAAGGCTTGAAGCGCCGCCACATGACACGGTCTATACAGGTCAAGGTCAAACACCGTTGAGCCATTCTGAAGAGCTCGAAGTGGCATCATACATCGTAGGTTCATACAAGTTGCTCAAGGCTCGTCCGTAAGGTACAAACTAATCATCCGAAAAGTCGGCAACCATTAATGGACCATGTATGGTTGGCCCCTCTTCGTATGTATAAAAGCCAACTTCCTGACCAATGCCAGGGAAGGACTTCGAGCATTTAACTCCCTCTTACTTCACTCGATACTAACTTAAGCTTTGGAAGGGTTGAGTCAGGAAATCTCCCTCCCGACCTCGGCTTGTGTCGAGATTTTTATTTGGTCTCCTATGACGTGTCACACATATACATATTTAATATATATCTACATTGCATGCAAAAATATATACATATCTAGTAAGTATACAAGTAATCGCACTAGATGATCATGGATCACATCCTAATATGATCAAGCCCGAGCTAGCGGGTCTGATCACTTACATCATGATCTATGTGTGTAATGACGTATCTTCATACCTTGTGATCATCCATCTCATCATCGTTGGTTCTGTCGGCATCTCGACGCATCTCTATGCATGACGATCGTCCGTCTCAGCCTCATGGGTCATACTATCGCCTTCATGCTCCCACTATGCCTCATTATGTAATTACAACTTAATCATAAGCACGTAAGCTCGACAATAAATGAGAAAAAAATTAGAGGCTTGCAGAACCCTATAATAATAATGATCATAATCACATCACACACATATATCACATCACACGGTTCATGATCATCCGTCCACATCATACATCACATGTACATATCATATAGGACTACTAGAGAAATAATAATAGTTAATTAAACTTTTTAATTCACTAATATTTTTCTAAAATTCGAGACATGCAGGGAATTTTATGAATTATGATGGGTATTTAGGTAATTTGTACATAAATGACAGACCATGAAAATTTTAAAATTATGAGAGGCAAAACTATCTTTTATCTAGAAATCTCTACTACCTTCATCTACCACTACATTGTGACCGCCACCACCCCACCGATGGTGGCATCTACAAGGGGCGAGGGTGTCGCCTTTGCCCTTGGTCGGCTCACCCGCGGGCGGTGTGCAGACGGGTAGGTGCCACTACAGGTTGTGGTCAACGTTGTGGTCGGTTTGCCCACAGGAGTTATGCCTGCAAGGGGCAATGTCGCTTGCATAATGTCTGTGCGCAATAATAGTTGTTGATCTTGCGTCTACAACTAC